GTGTGCTCAGCCTGGCACATGAGGGAGCATCAGCAATGAGGTCAATAAACTGGATTAGGAATAGGATAAGGCAACTAATGCACAGGGAAAAAAATTGCTGAATATTAAAATAGGGTCCCATGTGGGAGAAGTGATGAAAGAAAGGTGCTGCATAAGAATTGCTGCAATATGGTAGCTGAAATTTTGTAGGCTATACAAAGATCACAAGCATGCACATTAGAGTAATTCAGAATAAATGCCTTGCTCCAAATTGAATGTTTATGCCTAATTTACTTTCATCTTTTTAGTGCAAATATAAAAGCTAGGTACTGTAAGGTGCAATCCTGTCATTCTTATTCTCTCCTGTTATAAGGCAATCGTCCAGGGGATGATTAATATATTTATATTATGTGGATTGTATCCCTAACCTAAATGCTGGTGGAAACTTCTTAAGAAGTGATGTATGGAAGGAGAATCTAGTAATCATTAGAGCCGTGCTACCATTTGTGTTCACCATTGCAAAAGATGTTTTGGAAAATACAAAACAGCCAGCATTGGACCACTCTTTAAAGCAGCTATGTCCTTTCTCATAGCTTGGTGATATATTCATGCCTCCAAGGATTCTGAAACGACTTTTGGAACTGAATAAAAAAACTGCACACTCCTGGAATCTATGTGGCAATATACAGAAAATCATGTACCTTTCTGTCAGAACCAAGGAACACAACAAATATAGAAATCACGGGTAGGTACGCTGGTAGACATTCTTTTAGCTTTGTAAAACTGCACCTTTAAACGTTCAAGGATACATATACGCATATTTGTTTATTAGAAATAAATTGTCAGTGTATATAACTCTGCAAAAGGAAATTGTATAATGAGAAATTACTTTCATGGCATTAATAATAAGCCAAGTTCTTTTTTGTGTTACACAACAAATTGTCCACAAGCCAAGAGAAGAATATTTAAACCAATATTAAACCAATAATAAAAGGTAAGGTAGAGATAGGCAAAAAAAGGTTGTATTCCAACAAATCAGCAATTTTCAGGAAATCTTTACACCAATATTCAGGTCTCTGCCATTTCTGACCAGATTTTTTTTTTAATGGTCAATTTATAGTTACCCAATTCCCAAGGGAATTCAGTTACCAATTTTGAACATTTTAGATGGTCCTGACGGGCTCAAAGATTATTATTGTTCAGGTTTTGTAACCAGAAAGAACTGCTGAATTTGCTTTACTGCACAGTCCAAGAGTGACTTCTTTATGAGACAGCATCTGCAAGCAAAATAATATAAAAAAGACTTCTGACAAAAGCTACCCACAAATTTAGGAAGAATGAGACAAAGCATTCTCCGGTTTCTAATTTAGAGCAACTATTCTGATAATTTAGTTTTCAACAAATGGTTGTTTGTCACATGCCATGTTCATATGGGTGGATGTACTCTAGAGAAGGTATACCACCTTTTCTAGCTATGATAATGCTTAGTCTTGATGTCAAGATCAGTCTATCACTCAAGACCAAAGTAGGCTCTGTGACATAGAACACCTTTCTTTAATTAAGTTATGGCTCTGCTGATCACAACAAAGAAAAAAGCATAACTCAGAAAGCTCAAACTGCCCAAGGAGCTGCTGATCCAGTTCTACAGAGGAATTATTGAGTCTATCATCTGCACCTCTATAACTGTCTGGTTTGGTCCTGCAACCCAACAGGACAGATACAGACTTCAGAGGATAATTAGGACTGCAGAAAAAACAATTACTACCCACCTGCCTTCCATTGAGGACCTGTATACTGCATGAGTCAAAAAGAGGGCTGTGAAAATATTTACAGACCCCTCACATCCTGGACATAAACTGTTTCAACTCCTACCCTCAAAACGATGCTATAAAGCACTGCACACCAGAACTAGACACAAGAACAGTTTTTCCCCGAAAGCCATCACTTTGCTAAACAAATAATTCCTTCAAAGCCATCACTTTGCTAAACAAATAATTCCTTCAACTATTACAAACTCTGTACTACTACTACTACTGTTAATCTTCTCATCACTCTTTATCACCCATCCCCTCCCACTTGACTGTTTCCTAGTATGATTTGATTGTTGATTGTACCCTATGACTATCATTAAGTGTTCTACGTTATGATTCTTAACGAATGTACCTTTTCTTTATGTATACTGAGAGTATTTACACCAAGACAAATTCCTTGTGTGTCCAATCACACTTGGCCAATAAAGTATTCTATTCTATTCTAATCACGGATAGTCCAGGCACTCTTAGGTTCTCCTAATCTCTACAGACCAGTCTACAGTAATGCATAATATATGGGTCCGACACTGAAGATTACCTAGATATAAAGTTAGATGTTAAATCACTTCTTAATATGGACTGGCTGTTAGGACTGTACTTCACGTCTTCATGTCTTTGACTAGTTCTTGTTCCACCTCTAAGTGTTCATTTATGTTTAGGGGATGCATCACTGAATGGCCAAAGGAAGAACTGTGTTCACCACTGCAATGCATGAAGGTCACACTTTAGGTTAGGAATATATGGGAATGTGAGATAGCGCTTTCCCACTGGTGATACCACCATTTCTAGGAAACTAACTTGAACCCACATTGCCGGGGCCAAAAAGACAATACAACACCATGTCTATGTTGTAGTCAAGAAAAGTCCACAGACAGGAAACACAAGGTTACCAGAAGTCAAACTTCACTTGAAGAGTTTATGTTTTATCCCCATCTCCTATCAGCTTTTCAAAATTAATTTCTAACCTTTTTCCTTGGTTCTCTAATTAACTTTTAGTTGTGAGCAGATACAGGAAACACCACCTTTGGTGTGGGAAGTCAAAAGAAATAAATGTTGTTAGGGGCTTGTTCTTGCATTATGCTCTTGTAAAAACTGCCCTGGAAACGGCACAGAATGGACAACATAGAATTTAAAATACAGATTCATCCAGCTATTATAAACAGGATAATACTCTTGCAAGTAGTAAGGCAACTAAGGAATCCCAGGACAGACAATCCTCAATTTTATAACCACAATTGTGATCCATCCTAGGTCAGTCTGGTTGTAAAGTGAGTCATCCATATGTTTGGACTTGATTTTGTGCCCATTTTTACTGCGGCCGTTAAGAAAATCAGAGTTATGGTATTAAGTGAATCCAGCTTCCTCAATTAACACTGCTTGTTGGAAACTGGCTGGGAAGGTTACAAATCACTATCACGTGACCACAGGATACTGCAACTGGTGGGTCAATTGCCAAACTCCCAAATTATGATCACATGGTCACAGGTCATAAGTGCAAGGATAGGTCGTAAGGCCATTGTAAATTTGAACCATTGTTAAATGAATGGTTGTTAAGTGGAGGACTACTTGTACTCTGGAAATCCTAATACAGGTAGTCCTCAACTTATGACCACAAATGAGCCCAAAATTTGTATTGCTAAATGAGACCTTTGTTAAGTGAGTTTTGTCCCACTTTACAACCTTTCTTGCAATCGTTAAGTGAATCACCGCAGCTGTTAAATTAGTAATGCGGTTGTTAAGTAAATCTGGCTTCCCCATTGATTTTGCTTCTCGGAAAGTTGCAAAAGGAGATCATGTGACCCCGGGAAAATGCAACCGTCATAAATATGAATCAGTTGCCAAGCATCTGCATTTTGATCATGTAATTGTGGGGATGCTGCAGCAGCCATAAATCACTTTTTTCAGTGCCACTGTAAATTTGAACAGTCAGTAAATGAACTGTTGTAAGTCAAGGACTACCTGTACTAATAAATATTTGCCAAGACAGCAGAGATGTCACAGTAAGATATGGGAGGAGGGAGATTAGTAAGTAGGAAAAGGGACACATTCTTTTTTTCATATCATTTTTAACTTTCCACCACAACTACTCTGGGACACACACACGGACACACACACATGGACACACACACGTTATGCTGGCTTAGAGGTCTCAGTTCCTAACCCTGAGATCATGCAGTAAAGAACAAGCTTTGAAACTATCCAAGCAGGGCAAGCATTCTCTGAGAAACCCTGCCAGATGGACAACTAGAATCAAGCAGTTTATCACATTCCCTAAATTTGGTGAAGCCAGCAGGAGCATATATAAATATTCACCAACCTCGTAGCTCTCCACCATTCCTGCTGATCAGCATGGAACAGACCCGAGAGATCTGACAACTCGAAACAAAAGTTATACACAAGGTTTGCCACGGGGCTGTGCAAAAGGGCCAGAGGAAATCTTAAAATGTATGAATGACTGCTAAATGAACCCCCATTCATTCAATGCCAAGCTACACAGACAGCCAGACAAAGTGAGAAAAATGGATGCTAACCATAAAAGCGGGGAAAGGGTTTGGGTCTCCTACCAGATATTGCTTGCAGTAATGATGGGAAATTACTCAGAAAACTTGGGCTCAACTTGAAAAGCTAAGCAGGGCTGTAGATAGGAGACCACTAGGAAATCCCTAGACTGAGATTTTTTAAAATCCTATTCTGGAAAATGACCATAGTACAGCAAACAAGACAGCCATAGGGATCGGCTCAAGTCAAGCTCAATGAGATATTTCTTGGGGGCCACCCCTGGTGCTGAAGGACCACAGGGACTTGTGGGAGGCAGTCTATAAGTTGCTGGGCTATCAGGAGACACCCCAAAACAGGACTTGCTGCAGGGAAAGTCAGCTGCCCCACCAAATGCGGAGCTGGGAGGGGACTGCCCCAAAAGAGCAACAGGGAGGGGCAAAGAAACCCAGCCGGGCACGGAGCCAAGGGGGGAAGAAAAGGGGGCCGCGTGGAAGCGCCCCCACCCAGGAGGGACTGGATCAGGGAGGGAGCAAGCCTCGCTTCTGGGGCAGGAAGACTGGGGACTTCTCCCGCTTTTCCCTCCAGGGGTCTGGGGGCCCCTCCCGCCCAGCAGGATGGCGGGACGGAGGGGGGGGGGCGATCCGTCGATGCCCTTCCCCAACGGGGCTCCCTCGACCCGGCTGAGTCTGGGGGCGCCGCTGGGCTACTTACTAGGGGTCGTTGGTGAAGCGGGGGCTCCGCGGGGGCTGGTAGCCGTAGAGGTGACAGTAGAGCACGTCGAAGCAGAAGCAGCACATCTCGGCCGACACCACCATCTTTCTGCAGCCGCCGGGCCCGGCGCCGGGGGAGCCCAGCAGCGCGGCGGGGCCCGAAAGGCCGGCGCCGGGGCCCCCTCCGCAGCCGGGCGGGCGAGGCGGCGGCGAGAGGGCGCAGCCGGGGGAGCCCCCCGCCAGCCCCCCGAGGCCGTTGAGGCGCGGGCCGCCCCCGGCCGCCGCCGCCCCCGCCGGTATCGCCCCCGGCTCGCCGCAGCGGGAGCCCCCCCCTCCGCCGCCGCCGCCCGGGCCGGCCGAGCCCGACGGAGGGGAGCTGGAGAGCTTCTGCTTCTTCACCCCGCAGCAGCCCGCCGCCATCTTGGAGCCGTCTCCCCCCACGCAGCGCTTCCGACCCATGGCGGGGGGGCGGCGCGGCCGCGGGGGGGCGGGGCGTGCGCCGGCCCCGCCTCCTGCCGGGAAAGCTCCTCCTGCGGGGAGGGAGGAGGGGAGCGGAGGGCGAGGCCGGCCGGGGGAGGAGGGAAGGGGGTTTGGGGAAGGGGCGCGGGGGACTGGAGGAGGGGGGCAGGCGGAGCGCAGGGGGGAGAGGAGCGGGCAAGCGAAGAAGGGGTCACGGAGGGGAGGAGCCAAGAACGGAGGGAGGGGCATTTGGGGAAGGGGCGCGGAAAAAGGAAGAAGGGGGAAGCAGGGCGGAGGGGCGAGGAAGCCCAGGGGGGAGGAAGAGGAGGAGGTAAGCAAGGAAGGAGGGAGGAAAGGGCCGCGGGAGGGATCCGGGAGGAAAGGGGGAGGAGCCAGGAAAGGAGGGCGGGGCGTTTGGGTAAGGGGCGCGGGGGAAGGAGGGGATCCCCGCAAAGAGGAGGGGGGAAGGGAGGGGCGTGGAAAGAGAAGGGGGAGAAAGGCGGGGAGAGGAGGAGTAAGGGGGACGGGGGGGGGGGAAGAAAGTGATGGAGAAAGAAAACAGTCGTTAGTAACTCGCAAGTTACGATAACTCTGCCCCCCCCCCGGTTTTTTACCATCCCCCTTGGCCATTTTCTCCCACCTGCCCATCCTCCAGTCCCCCACGCCCCTTCCCCAAACCCCCTTCCCTCCTCCCCCCGCCGGCCCCGCCTCCTGCCGGGAAAGCTCCTCCTGCGGGGAGGGAGGAGGGGAGCGGAGGGCGAGGCCGGTTAACCGAGATCGTTAGATCGGAAGAGCGTCGTGTA